CTTACTGACCTTGAGTGAAGTCGTGCCGAATACGCCCTGGCTCACTCAAGAAAGCCAAGTAGAAATATACTCGTCACCGTAGAAAATCGCAGTCTCGAGGTAGCCCCCGATGGTCCCGCACTATTCCTTCCAACACTTGATGACGACGCCCCCCAAAACCACTATTCCTAAGCCTAAAAAAAAAAAAAAAAAAAAAAAGTCCGCGAGTGTCAGTTCCGCCAGCATTACCCGTCGTACTCACATGCCTCGCCGGTCCCAAAAGGTCTAACGGGGCCAATGCCAATGGCCGTGCTACCGCCGATGCAAAAAAAATAAATAAATAAAATTGGCGTGTCGCTCCGCCTTGAGAAGCCTGGTCCAACTGACAGACTATCGTCAATATCTCTAGTGCCGCCTGCCGTACCACCGCAATGGTAATCACTCAACAATTTCCTTCCTTCATTGACGTTGACAACGCGCCCTTCGACGTATCAAAAATATCTACCACTCTCCCTCCACTTAGTGTTGTCTGGCGAACCCCAATTTTGGCAGCATAACGCTGTGAAAATAATTGTCGTTGACTCCGAAAAAATACGGCAGTATTTCCTCTTAGAAATAGCAAAAACAGTCTGTCGAGGTCCGCTCGCCGGTACCACCGCCAGTGAAGTCCTGATGTCCAACCGTTGTCGTTGGAAACCACCGTCAAATTAATAAAATATTGGGCCCTAGACAAAATCCAAGTCCAAAACAGCCTCTTGTCGTGCCGCATTGGTCCCTCAGAGTCCCAAGTGTTGCTCCACTGGTCCAGCACCAACCAGAGGGAAGTGGAGCAGAGTGCTCCCTACCCCGACTATGGCTGCCCTGCTCCTCTCGCGCTCCACTGCAGACTTTCAGCCTCCATGTTGCCTTTGACAGCTCCTCTTGCAAACCAGCAACACTCAAGTGTGTTTGCCACACACTGGCAGCACGAGTGTTTTCTGTGTGGCAGTTGGGGACAACTGCCTGTTTTATAGTGGCTGAGGAGACTCGGAGTTGGACGTCACTCCATCCCTCAGGCAAAATCGCGGGCTCACAGTGAGCCCTTGATATGGCCAAGATCCAGCGCTAACTTTGGCCGCACCACAACCACAGCCTTAGTGAGGGCAGTTTCTTTAACTGCCCTCATTTTCTTTTTATTTTTTCCCCCCCAGCTATCTCGAAATTCCACGAGATAGCTGAGGTCCTGGCATTTCCAAAACTGCTTTTATTCTATTTTTCAAATGAGGGGGTGGAGAGATACAGCCCCTTTCAGTTTGATGTATCTGGACCCTTTTATCAGGGGAGATACATCGGCGAAAAGGTTGTACTTAGCCTTTCCCTTTATGACTCCTCAGTTTTCAGGCTCCCTCTAAAAATGGGAGCCTGACAGTCACTTCTGGCAGTTTCTGTCAGAGGTAGCCCCTCATGAGCACAAGTGTCCTCACAAGAATGTTGCAAAAATAATAAAAACCAAAAAGAAAAATAAACTACATCTAACTGTACGCGCCTGGCCCTTACCTTGGCCAGGTGCAGGCTGTTGAAATCAACAACTTTTTCCTTTTATTTTTCTTGCCATCCCTTGAAAATGGGGAGGGTAGTTGTCAGGTCGGGAGAGATAGGTCCTGCCTCTCCCAGTTTCCCGTTTCTCTCTCTCCCCCTCTCCATCCAACTTCCTCAGTCCCACCATCTTGCATGTGTCGTGAGCCGTCGGATCGAAGATCCCGCGGACACGAATATTCGGGTCAATCAGGGTGGGGACCTGAAGGCTGAACGTGCTCCCACGCAGCCTAAAAGTTTGTTTTCCCTTCAAGTTTTCACGAGGCAGTTGCCTCGTTTCTTTATTTTTATTTTATTTTATTTTTTTAAGTTTTTTGTGTGATCGTTTCAACCTCCCCCACTCCCTCACCGTTTTCTTTGCTGCCTGTACCCCAACGGCCACAAGGGGAGGAGGGACAACAACTAAAAAGTAGAAAAAAAAATAAATAATAACCCCACAGCCGTAGCCCGTTCGTCAAAACGAAGGGCGCCACAGACATGGGCCGTGTATATTTTCATGCTCTAACGGTAGATTCATTCGATTTTGCTCATCCTATTGATGGAAGTGGTGTGAGGCCTGTGAGGTTGACCCTCACACCTTCCTCTCTCTCTCTCTCTCTCTCTCTCTCTCTCTCTCTCTCTCTCTCTCTCTCTCTCTCT